CGTAGCCCCAGTTCCCAACGATCAGCAGCTTCATCTGGTTTAGGGTTAGGGTTAAAGTTAGGGTAAGGGTTAACGTTAGGGTTAGGGTTAGGGTCAGGGTTGGGATTAGGGTTAAAGTTAGGGTCAGGGTTGGGATTAGGGTTAAAGTTAGGGTCAGGTTTAGAGTTAGGGTTAGGGTTAAATTTAGGGATTAGTGTCAGAGTCAGGTTTAGTGTTAAAGTTAAAATTAGGGCCAGGGTCAGGGTTGGGATTAGGGTTAGGCCAGGGTTAGGGTCAGGGGTACTGTCTAAATTAGGGTTAGGGCTACGGTCAAGGTTAGGGTTAGAGTCAGAGTTAAATTTAGGTTTAGGGTCAGCATTAGAGTTAGGGTTAGGTTTAAATGTAGGATTAGTGTCAGTGTCAGGGTTAGTTTTCAAATCAAAGTTAGGGCCAGGGTTAGGATTAGGGTTAGGGTCAGGGGTAAAGTTAGTTAGTTAGTTAGTTAGTTAGTTAGTTAGTTAGTTAGTTAGTTAGTTAGTTAGTTAGTTAGTTAGTTAGTTAGTTAGTACACGGACCATCTTGCTATTCACCACAGGGTCCAATGATTGGGTTTTGGTTATTTAGTAATAATTAATTTAGTTTTACCTTCAACTTCCGCTACTTTTCTTTATTTCATTCTCGTTTTCTTAATTTTGCATGCACTCTTTTTCTTAGGTTCTTTGTATTTCTAGCACTTTATTACCTTTGACTACATTTGGTTTTCCTCAGGTCTCTATCCTTTGTTTCTCTTTGTTTCTCTTTTTCTTAATTTAAATTAGGAAACCCCTGTTCTCTTCAGCTTTTTCTTGTATTTAGTTTTCTTTCTACGTCTTTACTTAGGGTTAGGGTTAGGGACCAGGGTTGGGGATAGTCAACGGTTGGACTGGGTTACTTAATTAATGAACTATTAATGTGAAATAGCACATCTGAATAGATTAAAAGTGTCTCTAGCTAAAAGTGAGGGATGAACATGGAGATAAGTGTCAGGGAGGTGGATCTTGGAGGGAGGTGACAAAGTCCAAAACAAGGCTTTGGCAAAACTATGAACAAAGTATCAGAGCAAGATTAACATGACTGTGAAAAAAAAACATGGCTATGACAAAAAACGTGGCTATGGCAAAGTACAAACAAGATTAACATGGCTGTGGAAAAAACAAAGGCTATGCCAGGGATGGACTGGGACCATGAGGGAACGCAAGCAGAACCCTTTTAAAGCTGATTTGAAATCCGGGACAATAAGACAAACAGATCAAAAAGTTAGCACTGACCTAAGGGAACTGAACCCAACACCTATGTCAAGGAGGTGGGTCTTGAGGGAGGACTCAGTTGTGGAGATATGTGAAACAAGGGTTTATTAGAACAAAAACGCACTCAAACCGAGTGGACGGTGACAAAGTCCAAAACAAGGCTGTGGCAAAACTATGAACAAAGTAACAAAGCAAGATTAACATGGCTGTGGCAAAAGTATCAAAACAAAGTAAACAAGACTATGGCAAAACAAGGTTAACAAGACCGTGGCAGAACAAGGCTATGACAAAAACATGGCTATGGTACAAGGTAAATAAGACTATGGCATGGCTGTGACAAAAACATGGCTATGGTACAAAGTAAACAAGACTGTGGCAAAACAAGGTTAACAAGACCGTGGCAGAACAAGGCTATGACAAAAACATGGCTATGGTACAAAGTAAATAAGACTATGGCATGGCTGTGACAAAAACATGGCTATGG